TTCACTGAAGTCCGTCCACTTTATTTCTCTGAAATTATCAAAGCTTTTGGGGAAAACCTATTTATTTACTTCAGGAATTAAATGATACACAAAATGTGTCATATGGAGCTAACTGGTAACTCATTACTGCTCACAAAAAAATGACAAGTGACAACGACCAAAATGAATCCTATAAAGTAACAAAAAGTTTCTGATTTGCTTTACCTTCTCAAAACAAGTTTTTTTTGCGCCAGTTTGTTTGAGGAGAAATGAGCTCAGTCAAAAGATGAAAAAAATGAAATAAGAGAAAAACATATAAACACAAAGGTGTGCCAGCTACTTACAAGTAGGCCCAGAATGCAAAACAATATCCTTTGCATCCTGAAAATAAATATATGCACATTAGCAGGCAATCCAATTTGTTTTCCTGTTCCCACGAGTCCTTGTTTGAGTTTTTACCTGAACTATTCGCTCCTTGTTGTGCGTCTTCACATCTCAAGTTCCAAAGTTTACCCAAGTTTTCTTCTCTGTTGTGCGCTCACAGCCGCTTACTAAAGTACAAGACTAACCCTGGCAGTAGCAGCAGACTCCCGCAGCACAGAGGCGTGGGTGTTATTGCAGTCGGCAGAGTGAGGTTATAAAAGTATGGTTCGGGGAACCCCGGAGGCCTTACAGCTTTTTCCGAGTGGTCTCTTTAAATGTTAGGCTTCCACTGATCAGCAAATGTGAATCTAGCAGTCCAAGTTAACTGGACTGGACAATCTTTGGTTGTCAAAATTTATTGTGAGGATAAGGAAAAACTTTATATACATAACTGCTGCTGTTAGAGCTGAAACTAGAAAACGGACTGCTTTGTGATTACTGTGAAGGGAGTGTAGTGCAGGCAGTGGCGGTCCTAGCCTGTTTGGCGCCCTGGGCGAACACTCCCTCTCCCTCTCCTCCTCTTCTTTTCTATTTTTTCTAAACTGAGCACCTGATGGCTTTGAACTTTTCTTGTCCATGTTCCATTGGTTTTGATTTTGCACTCCAGTATGAACACCCATCCCCGAACCCGAGGATCACCACAACATAACCTAACAGACCTACACCTTAGTTCACAGATTCGCTTTGTCTAAGGTGTATTTCTGGGATTTCGCACAGCCCAGGATTCAAATCATGAATACATGATGGACTTGGAATTACAACATTATGAATGAAATGTGCTCTATTTGGAAGCAGCCGCCCCCAACCCTGTCGACGGGGGCGTTGTGTGTGAGACTTTAAATCATCAAACTGTAAATTATAAATTTTAAAAATCTTATTGATCCCTTTACCCCTGGTCCTAAAGTGTATGTTTATTTCCTTTCTCTTCTTATATATATTGTTTGTTTACTTGCACTGCTGTAACTGGAGCCTCATCATCTCGTCTCTATATACTGGACTGTATGTAGCGGAGATGACAATAAAGTTTACTTTGACTTCAGCAGCAAGCAGGCGCACCGAGGGCTCTCGCGCTCACTTTTCACGTATTTCGAAAAAACATCGGTGCAAATTATAAGTCTGTATCATGATGTCTGGTGTTTTTGTGTTTGTTGGTTTGTTTTTATTTTGTTTTATTTTGCGAGCTGGTTATTAGATGCTGCTCCAGCCAGCCAGAGATTCCCCCGCCGCCCCGCCCTCTCCTCCCTGTGCCGCAAGCAGCAGGCGCACCTCGCAAACGGAGGGCGCCCTTACTCCCAGCAAATGGGCGATAGAAAACCGATCGGTGCCTATGCCATTCCCAATATGCGCTGGCATAACGTCAGGGCAGCATGAGTACGAGCAATTTTTTTTTTTTTTTTGCCGATGGTGATGCCGCCCCCACCACGATGCCACCCTGGGCAACCACCCGTGTCGCCTGTATCAAAAACCGCTACTGAGTGCAGGGACATCTTTAAAAAATTATGAGCTAACAATAAATAAATAAAATCCTATAAATTCACACATTTCTCTGTTCCAAATTATAGCACCAACCAAGCCTGTGTCATTATTTGATCAATAGCTGCTTAAAGCTCCCCATTCCCAAAGTCAGGAGTACTGTGGCTCACTTCTTTCTGAAAATCAGAAATTCTCATGAGGCACTTATGATGATCTTAAATCATTACTCTAAACAAAATCTATCAGAAAGTGATGCATTTACTTGTACATGCATTTACTTGAAAATGTTATAAAAACCTATAAACATCACAGGCTGTTGGCTGTTGCTAATGCTATCTGGTTATATCCAAAGAGGTAAGACAAAAATGTGACCTACCTGCTATATCACAAACTAGCCAACTTCTATGTTTCAATTAACTTTTCACATAAATGAATACATTCATTTACAAATATGTACCAGTACATACTTGTGAGTAATTTCAAACTGGATTTCTATTGTACCAGCAACCCACACTTTGAGCATCTGCACCAATCATAGAAGCATGACTGAGGAGAAGAATAATGGACCCTGGGAAGTAGGCTATCTATTCGCTCATGAGGCTGTCTCTAAAGCATGATCTCACTTGAAACTTGTAAATTTACTATAAGTGTACTGTGTGTTTATAGATATTCTGCGTGTGGGTTCATGATGTGGTTTAACACAGGTTGCCTATGCTTGAAGCAAACTGTCAAAGTTGGCCTTTCCTCTGGAACTGACCCAGAATAGGCAAAAAAAAAATCTCACGCAGTATAAAAGAGTCTTTTAATAAAATAATAAGTTCAAGGTACTTAGAGAATGTACACATTTGACAATCAGCAGATCTATTGCCACAGAAAATATGTCCATAGACAGAGTATGGTGTGCACTCACACGCATTCTTGCAGACACACACATAAAAAACACATTTTTGTATTTTTTTCCACTATTTACATAATTAGCTGTGATCAGAGGATTAGCAAAGTTGATCAGCTTACTTCTGAGTTATTATTCCACAATAAGTTGATCTAGGCACTCACTGCCCTCCAGTGGTCACAGTGAAGTACTACAACAGTACACATTCTCCAAAGACGTTGCAGCATTGATGCAAGAAAAAACTGAGGCAGCTGTTATGGCACAGTGACGAAAGGAAAATCATGAGCACTGATGCAGGTGTGAAGGTTTCTGAGGATGTTTACTCTGAGTGTTGGAGATGTATAGCTTTTAATTGCCAGTTTTTTTACACTGGAAGAAATGAAGCTTATGTGTAAGTCTAAGAGGGAAGATTTGTAATATCTCATCTGCCTGCTTTGCTGGGTGTTTGGCTGCTAATCTATTCAGTACATCACTACCACTTGTCTATGTTCTTAATCTCAATACTAACATCTTTACTCTTGTCCATTCATTTTGTTGTCAGCCTCTGCCCTCACTGACACACAAAACAAAACAATGACTACACAACAGACTAGCTACACAAGACAACACACTAAGTATACACTCCACGCTAAACATCACAAATCTCCCACATCTCAAAACTTGCTCTCTAACCGTCACTCGCTGTGTCTCGCTGCCATCACTACCAAAACCTTCCCCTCTTCCTAACCAACCAAATCCCAAGTGTTGAGTTTTTTTTAAAAATTGCTCAACGTGGTACGTTTTTCAACCAATAGCAAAGAGGTGACTTTTTTCTTTATTTACTGTTTTTGCGCTGTCATTAGAAAATGCTTTAAAAAATCCCCCAAAAAAACCCACCAAAAAAAACTTGACGATAGTATTTAAGAACTGGTGTATACTTTCAAGTCCAAACTTTCAACAGGGCCTGAAACAGAGACTCAGCGTGGCTGCAGCTTGTTGCTATGTCAGTTTAAATCAGTCATGTGATTTGGAGGTGCAGCGTGTCTGTGGACCCCAGAAGGTTAATAACACTCACCTTCATTCCATTTCCAGAGTGTAACAACCAACCACCTGTGTGAAATCTGAAATTGCAATGGTGCTGATCCATTTGGTAATGGTGGAGGCAATATATTCAGTTTAAGAATTTATATTCCCTCTTAACTGTAACTATGCTCAAAGTGTTAGTGTTATCTTATTTTAATAAACAACACTGCCATATGCAAAACTGGGGTAGCAAGAGATCATCTTAGGGTGGCACAGGCCACCTCATACCACTCTTCTAAATCCGCCCCTGACCTTGTGGTGTTTTTCAGACTAAGTCCACAATAATTATTGCAATTATTCATTTTAAATTATTAAAATTAGCTATTAAAATCATCTTCCATTACATCCACAGTAGTTCAGGAGTGCTAAAGGCTAATTACAACATAATGGCCTATCAGATTACCAGCCATGCTGCCCTCAGAGGTGCTGATCAAAGTTGTAATTATATGAACAACCCCCTCATTGGTCCACTGTTAACATATTCACAGTGATTGAAACGCTACTGGTGAAAACACGTGGTTATCCACTCCCACCTTGTTAATATTCAGTGGGTGCTGAAGAAGGTTTTATAATACAGCAGTGAGGACAGTGTTTATTTGTTGTAGTGGTTATACGTGGTTATATAAATCCTAACATTTGCACAATGTTCTCCTTATTTTCACTTTCACATAAAAATATATAAATCTGTGGACGTTATGTGTTCGTGCCTTATGTAAAACCACGCATGGTGTGGTGTCAATGTTTTTCTTCAAAAATAGGTGTTGTAAAATCAAACTAGACCCAGACCCACCTGTGACACATGAAATACTGCCTATATGTCAGGGTTAAATTACAGAGCCCAGCACTGGCTGTGTATCACCTATAAAGTAATTTCACAGGGAAAGGATGAAAGGTGTTGCAGAACAAATAGAAGGAGTCACCAGAGTCATTTTTTTCATAAAAGAAAATCCTTTAATTGATGTTGTTGCAGGTAAGAATTAAAAAGTGGAATGTCTTTTGGAGCATTTTGAGACACATTAAAGAAACCTGACCACACTGTACTGTATATGAATCCTGCAAACTGCAAACAGAACAATAACTTGCTTTAACTGCTTTTCTGGTAGAGTTCCAGAAAAGGGTGTTCAGGTTCAGAGCTAACGATTCTAATTTTTAAGGCTCCTTTTTTATGACCATAGCTGTTTGGACCTGTTTCTCAACAAACTCATATCCTGTAAGCTATGAAAATCTATAATTAGATTAAAGGTTAACAAGTTTTCAGGAAGCTGAAGACCTAGGACTTTATATTACCTGCTGCTAGACAAACAAAAAAAGAACATTTTTCACATCCAGATATGAGAAACGATGGCGCTTTACTTGATGTCAATGCTTCGAATGCGAGCATCCCCATCAAAGTTTAGGGCCGAGTATTTCTCTGCACCGACGCGGTTGGGGAAACGGAATGTTGAGCCATCTTGTAAAGTCACCACAAACTCTGAAGGAGTGAATTCAATGGAGATCTAAAAGGTATTATCAGTGAGAGAAACAGACAGACAAAGGAATCAAATATTGTAATAGATGTGATGTATAACGCTCAAGGTCTTGCAGATGAATGTGCGGTATCAAATAATGAAGTTATCAAAGATGCAGTGGCACTTATTTTCCACCAGAGGTCACTCTCAGAGAGAGGCACTATACAGACTAAAGAGGAAGCTAATAGATTACATATGACCCATGCAAGGCTAAAATGTAAACACACACTCTCACACCTTGAACTCCTGTCCCAGGGAGAAAGGAAAACTTTGCTCGCGTTGCTCCTGACACCAATTGCCTCCCTCGAAAGAGTTGCAGACAATTATATTTGAGTCTCCATGGGCATTGAAACGAGGGTTGAGATGAAATGCAATTGTGTCCTCGCCGGGGCCGATATTCACAGCAAAACTGCAATGTACAGACATGTGACAAACCTCATTTACTTTAAATAAGTAGCTCAGTCTCATTCTAATGGGGAATTTGAAAGAGAAATAAGCATAGTAAGTAAAATACAAGGGAAAGAAGAACAACAATCAAGCACGTTTCATGGCTTAAAACCACATTTACCTTAAATTACTGACTCAATTAAATTCTCATAGTCAATTTCAAATAGAAGTAACTGAGTCAAGTTCAGAAAGATACATGACATGTTCTATAGCTTTATTTCTGATGGTTCAGCTACTTTAAAGAGACAGCTAACACAGACAAAATCTAATTTACTCATTTTTTTAGCCAAAAACACTAGCTACCAGTGTTTGTACTAAATGATAAATACAGTGGTAACGATACCCTGTCAAGAATTAATTTTGCTGAATATCGATTGAAGATTTTTCGAACTTTTCTGTGATTCATTCATTTACAAACTCATGACACAGCTCGTCCTTTATCAATACTTACTCTCCAGCCTCAGGTTTGGCGACTCCAACAACAGTCATGGTTTGTCCAACCTTGAAGGACATGTTCTTTACAAACATACCCTGTGCATAAAAAGAAGGCAAGTTTGGTGATACAGTGTATTATTGTCTACTAATACTACTGACTTTTATTAGATCCAATTATTACAGCTTCAGGCAAAAAACAGCACTGATATAGTCTCGGCCAATTCTCCGATCCTCACTTTATCCCTGGAAACTGCAGAACATCTGTTTTCAGTTATATCCCCATTGACTGGCTGGTCAAATATTCCAGCTCTTGTGTCCTGAGGTTGCCAGGGACATTTTTCTGTACACCGATTTTGGCAGAGACTGAATGTTGAAAAATGATGAGGGACAACTGTTAAACTGAGTCAAATTTTCCTCAGTGCAATACTAGATACCGGGAGTGGAAAAACACTAAGCTTAGCAGAAATTCAGTTCCTGCTGTACATGTGGCAGGGAAATAGTGGTTTGTGTAACAATTAGGAAATGGTCATTCTAATGGGGAATTTGAAAGAGAAATAAGTATAGTAAGTAAAATATAAGGGGAAGAAGAACAACAATCAAGCACGTTTCACGGCTTAAAACCACGTTTACCTTAAATTACTGACTCTATTAAATTCTCATAGTCAATTTCAAATAGAAGTAAATAAGTCAAATTTAGGAAGAAACACTAAATGACATGTTCCATAGCTTTGTTTCTGAAGGTTCAGCTACTTTAAAGAGACAGCTAACACAGGCAAACTCTTCCACTGAAGGCAAAAAGTCCAGGCCCTTGAGGCCTGGAGTTGGACATCCCTGCCTTAGAGCAACATTGTTCACCTCAACCTCTTCATGACTGTGATTCTCAAATCCTACAGAAGAGAAAGTTTTCCAAGGACCTCTGCATATTCTGTAACCCCAGTTACATGTTCATTGTTATCTGCATTATTAGATCCCAATTAAACTAAATTCTGTTCATCTTAAATTATATGTCACCACCATATCAGAGTTTCTATTGGTACACAGATAACAGTACTTTCATTTATATCCCCTTTGTAGACACACAAACATGTAATGATCTGCACTGTTCTATAAACAGGCTGAAATCGTGGCACGCCACAGCTCACTGCAAAAAATATAATTTATTTAAAGATCAACCAGTGTAAGTAAGGGAGGCATAGTAATGTGAACATTCTTCCTCTGTTAGAAAGTGTGTTTGGCTGTGCTGGACTGGGCTTGTGTCCGAGCTGGCAGTGACGCTGCATGTCTCCCAGACATTCTGCCTAATGAAGGAATCTGAATAAAGTAATGTGTAAGACATGATACTTCACTGAATCTGTCACTGGTGTGATGATGAAATCGAGCTGGCAAGTTATTAAAACAGTAACATGTTACTAGTAATAAAGTAATTATAAAAATAAACTTCACTGAACTGAATGAATAATTGTCATTTCTGTGTGAAATCAACAAAAAGTGAATCTTAACAGTGCCAGGGACATTATTTGAGAGATAATTACACTTCTGCTTAAGGGTGAACTGTTATTGACCCCTGTTTGGCTTAGATTTGCAGGATTGTTGGTTCTGTTCTTGTTTCTATGTTATTACTTTATTTCATTTCATCCCTTAATGTGATTTAAACCACAACACCCCTTTAGCCCCAAAAAAGAAAAAGAGATACAAGGTCTTGATTGTATTCTGACTATTTTATCAATTCAAAGATGCTAGAATGCAATGCAGCCTTTGTTCAGCTCTGACACTGGGAAAAGAGAAGGCGTGACTGAAACGAAAGACTCAAGTGTTATCATGTGTTTATATTACTAAGGATAACTTTCATGCATAGCCATGACATTGATCTATTACTATAGATGAGAAAAAGAAAATAACAATTAAGTAGTAAATAATGTAAGCATATGCTCTGTGGTGAATATTTTGACCATAAAAGGTCATCAAAAAATTCAAAACATTAGAACTCCTAACAGCTCAATAAAAACTAAATGCAAACATCTGTTTTAGTTAGTTCAGTTTAGCTGATGCAATTACATCAGCCTGGTAAATATAAAGCTAGGACCAGCTGTCAGTTCAATGCTTAAAATAGGCTTAAAGCCTAAGACTGTCGATATCAGTAAACCAAAGAGTCATATGAAAATCAAAGTAATAGAAGTTGACTATTGTTGTCAAAATTTTACTTACATTATTCATCTTGGCAGATGCAGAAGGTTAAGTACAGCTGAGAAGAAATGAAAGTGCTGCAGGGCCTTGCCTCTCTGCACCCCACCAGATGACTCCAGTATATAGAGGGTGGGAGGTGCCTTCAACCTGAGTGACATTTCAAAGAGCCAATAGAATTGTGCCATTGCTAAACACCCAAGAGCTGACTCACAGTGAGATTAGAAACTGCAAATAACTAATGTAGCAGTTAACAAATACTTGCAGATGTTGGTGAAGTGAGGCTAATTAGTGAAAGATCATTTGTTAACATCAAACTGTTACATTTTAACCTGGTGGAGCTGAGCCTGACTGTGAGGGGAACTGCAGACTTGGAGTTAAAAATAGAAGTGTATTTGTTACCAGGGAGACAACTAAATATTTAGCAGAGCCAGCGGTCTTAATGTCCACTTACTGTATATAGCTCAGGGCATACAGTAAGATCAAATGCTGGCATTTGGAATAAATCTGTGGCAAATTCTAGGTAGAGTTGAAATTAAGTGAAATGTTGGAAGTGAGTCAGATCCTCAAAATGATTTGAATATATGACTCACACTTAGAGCCAGAGTATACTGTCAGCTGCTGACAGAAGACAGCTGCTGTGAGTGCAGCAGGGTGGGTCAGTTCCACACATATCCACTACAATGTATTACAAACGAATGTAATTCAGAGCAATGTCACAGGAACCATTTATCAAGAAGTAATTTCTTTTACAGTTATCTGCTGTTTTTCCCTCTGTAACTACTAATTGTAGTCATATTTGCAGTGTAGGGCTGCTCCAAACTAAATTTGGCTAATATCTCATCATTTAACAATAAAAAACAAAGAGTGGAGTTTCAGAAGGCGTTCTATTTTTATAATCTAGGTTCAGATTCCAGGCTGAAAACTTAAACCTTGTGACCAGTTCCCTTACACTTCACACATTGTAATGGTACAAAATAAAAATTCCTCCCTGTGCTTTATGACTTCTTTCTGGGTCATGTTATTGATTAAACACTTTTTGGCACCACCACCTCAAAATAATGTCCTGAGAGCAATAGAAAAATCACAAGATCTTTAAGTAAAAAGTACAAAAAGAACGCTTTAAACTAATTTACATAGTCCACACAGTGCAAATGGGTAATCATTCAAAGCATATCGCAAAAGCAACCCAACAGTCTATAAAGACAAAGAAAGGAGATATTCTTCAACTGCCAACTCAGTCATCTGATCTCAGCCCTTTAGCGCATACTTTTCAGTTATTAAATAAAAACTGAAGGCAGAAAGATGCACAAACAAGAAACTAAAGACAGCAGCTGCATCAAAGGGTTTCCATCGGCTCTGGCCTTCAGACTGCAAGGGGTTTTTATCCAAGTAATAAAAACTAGTATTATAATAACAAAAATGCAAGCTTGATCAGTTAATTCCTAAACAACTAATGCAATGTGCAGTAAGTAAAAACCTGACTGAATGCTAAAATTTCTATAGGAAATAATCTTATCTACTTCTTGAACCATGTGCTCCTGTGACCATATGTCAAAACAGGGTGCTATCTTCAAATGATGTGTGATAGGTTCTCACACACCTTTCTGGATGGTCATGGTCTAACCCTACTGCACAAGCAAATGCTGTGCAGTAGGGGAATTATTTACAATTGTGGTCAAAAGCTTATATACACTCCTCTTGGGGAATAATGTCATGATAATTAGGGGCTTTTAATGGTTTCTTTAACTGTTGATTGATTGAATGGTTGTGCAAAGGTCACAAGTTGCACCTTGACCACATGCTTTTGGTCATCAACAAGCTTTTAGCGTAATTCTGGATGGATATTTGAGCGCTTTTGTTGAGAAAATTGGCAGTGTTCATTTAAACTAACTGGTTTAAATGGACTCTGCTTTTAAGAGTATTCTACAAATTTTCAACAGGGTTGCGATTGGACCTTTGGGGAGGCCATTCCAGAAGCTTCATGTTAGCTTCTATTCCAAAACCAGTTTTGATGTGTTTTTTGATCATCTTTTCTATTGTCATTGGCTTATACTTGTAAGATTAAAAATGGTTTCCAAGATTTCTACCTTATTAGTTTATTTGATTTCATCTTTTAATGCGATTTTAGATATTGCAAACCTTTTCAAACAAATGTATCCCTGTATCCAAAAAAGCTCAAATGATACAAGGTCTCTATTGTATTCTGCCTAGTTTAGCAATCCAAAGAGGCCAGAATGCAATTCTGCCATTGCTCAGCTGTAATATTGTGAAAGAGAGAAGGTATGACAGAAATTACAGAAATGTTGCATGTATTTATTTCCCTTTCTAATAGAGAACTTTCACATCTCTGTTAGAAAGGGAAATGAAAGGGAAATGCATGTTGACAAGAAGACAAGACAGAAAGACATTTTCCCAAACACTTCTATACCACATGTCTTCCTGGAATAACAGCCATTGCCATGTATTGGATGTCAGTGGGAATACAGATTTAAGACACTTCTGTATTGGCTTTAGCAATGTCCATGGTTTCTATGTGGGATGGCAGGCTCCAGAGCCTGAGGGCAAAAACACCAAAGTCCTGGTTTTGTTCTCTGGCAAGAAAGGGTCACTGACACTGACAGAAACTGGAAGGATGAACTCAGTGACCTCAAGGTAGAATATGGAGTTAAAAGATCTGCAGTATATTATGGAGCCAATCAATGGAGTATTTGAAAACAACTAATACTGAACTTAGAAAATGATTTCACACATAACCAGTGCAACTGAGCGAAAACAGGATAATGTGCTCTCTTTTCTGTGCACCATTAAAAAAATCCGTTTTGAACCATCTGTAATCAAGGAAGGGTGAAACTGAACAGTCTTATTTACAGCAAGTTATGGTAATCCAGGTGAAAGGTGACACAGACAGATAACTGTTTCAACATTTCAGAAATATAAAGGCAATGCATGATGTATGTAGCACGTATGATTAAAAACAGAAGAGGAACAAAAGTGGATCCTTGTGGGATGCAACAGGTACTGGAAGCCGACTAGCTTCATCTTTCGATCATGACGTTCCTATATTTGAGGAGGGAAACCAGTGTAATACGTGACAAAGTTTGTGTTCCAGATATTTTTAAAGAACTTGTTAGATTCTATGCTGAGATCAAGCATGACTAAATAGTAGACTGACAGACAAAAGCAGATTATTATATGCCTTAAACAGAGAAGTTTTTTTCTATGTATGCTTTTCAAACCAGAGTGAAACTTGTCAGATATGGTAAAAGTATTTAAACATGGCTATAATTAGTAACTTCACAGTAAACTGAGTCACTTCATTTTGTTTTAAAGCACACAGTCAGCACACACTCACACAGTCCTATAGAAACACAACATGGACCCTGATCCCCTCAGTAACTATAGGCCTGTTTCCATTTAACACGATTTTAGAAAAAGCTTTGTTCTAATTGGGACTAACAAAGACTCCTTCAAGAAGGTGTGGTGGCGTTTATTACTAGTGTTTAATTATGTTTCTCAGAAAAGTGATCAAAACTGGCAAATTTTGTATTTGGAAAGATTATCTTCACTTTCAGATCAGCTTGTTCAAAGTTATGTACCACCTTACAAATGAACGACTGAGGATCTTAGTTCAGCTGTACTTTGAGTATTGCCAACAAACAGTGTGTAGTTTGTTCAGAAAGCAGGTGGAATTATTATTATTATTATTATTTTTAAAGTTCATCTCTCTACAGGATCAATCTGGAAAAGCTATGTCATATTTGTTGCTAGTATTGTGAAAACCAGTTCCTTTATCAGACGTTCAGTGGGACAAAGAGATGTGACATGTTTGCTCATGCTTGTGGTCTTAAGGCAGTCAGCAGATCTTATGACACACACATATCCGCCTACACACACACACACACACACACACACACACACACACACACACACACACACAATATTTACTGAATATTTATTATAACTATTTATTATCATCACATGAAAGCCAGTAATTCAGCTACATACTTTAATTATATGAGATAATGAAATGCAAACCACTACAACATTTATTCCAGGCTTCACACCAGCACAAAACAATTATATTTGTGTGTATTTCTTAAGCTTAAATGCAAACTATTTTAAAAAATTCTATCTGTTGATTGGTAGTTAGCAGACAATTATCAAAATTCATTATTTTACTTAAGAGTTATTAGTGAAAATGCTTGAAGGTGAGAAGAATTCGCGAATAGTTATATTGTTTGTGGTCTGACACAAAGGTGATCTGAGTGTTCACTGTCCTCCAGTGGTCAGAGTGCAATACTACAACAGTCCACATTCTGTAACAACTATTTACTACTGGAGGCAGCTGTTATTACAAGGTGACAAGGAGAACCAATAGAGCGCTAATGTAGGTGGGAAATCTTCTGAGGATATTCCCAATTAGTGTTGAGGATGTATAGCTTTAACTAAAGTAACATAAAAGTAAAAAACAAACAAACAAACAAAAATATCAATCTGACAGTGATGCAAAATTATAACAAAATATAATGCAAAACGTCACACACCACTCAGCTACACAAAAGTCAATCAAACTACATAGATACGCCACTATTCTTGGGTAAATGCAGGAGCATCAGAGTTTGTGTGAGGGTAATACACCAGGAAGGATTATCTAGCTTCAAAAACAGAAAGCAAAAATAAATAGCAATATTTAATGCTTATTAGAGATTTTCAAAATTGAAATTTACTTTAAACAATTTGGGCTCAAAACAGTCAAAAAAAAAAAAAACAAAAAGAAAAAAAACAAATAGGCTATTTTTCACAATTCAGCCTCCCATATTATCCCTGAGGAAAAAAAATGTGGTGTGAAGCATAAAAAAGAGGGTTTAAAAAAAAAAAAAAAAAAAAGCACTTCACTATGCTCTATGAGTATAGTGTTTCTGTCACTGGAGAACAACAACAACAACAACAACAAAAGGAAAATATAAAATGAAAAATTGTACACATTACATCACATTGTTGCCATTAAGAAATGCAAAACAGTAATCAGGTAAATTACACTAAACTGGCTATTTAATCACAACATTTACCAGTCAAGCACAACATTTTGTACAACAGGTACAACAGGTTGTACAACAGA